CAACCGCAGTCAGACAGAAAGTGGGCATAAATAACAATTAAACTTGAACAAAATCTACAAATGTCATGAGAAAGTAAAAACTGGAAAATGGAAACAACGGGCTTCTTACGCGATGTCGACCGCTCATGACGTTCAGTCATTCCTACCCCAGTGTTCGTGTAGACGTTCAAGCCAATCCTACAAATCGAAAGAGCCTGTTATGCCTAGGCAGCATTTAAGACTGTACTGTCAGAAGAGACGGTGTTACTTTCAATCAGCGAACTTAGCAAGCTGTCCCCCATAGTCAATCAGGCAAACTGCAGGCACTACCTAGCTGACCTTAAGCTCATAAAAAGCCATACCTGTACTTAGTTCCAGAAGAGAGGGGGCCATTGTAGCAGTGATCGCAGGTCTGCGAATCCGAGGGGTTACCAATTGTGAAGTCGATATCCTGAAGCCTCTGGCGAAAGCCTTGCTGATTATGTGGAATAACTACTTCCCAAGGGGCCCAAGTTGCATTGTTGTAGCTCTATCCACGGATGGAGAGAACGGGAAGAAATTAAGTAAACGAACAGCTTCGACAGGTGATATACTTCAGATGAAAACAGGGTGTAAGAAGTCTACTTCACTCGCTGCCACCTTGAGTGTGTGGTTAAATAGTGACAATGACCATACTTCCCTCACTGACTGTATGAATTTCAAATTCTACTTATTAAGAAGTCACCAAGTTTAGCTGATAGTTCTGATAGGGAAATGAAGGCAAAAGTGCCTTAGAACTAGTCCAAGGAGGAGCGTTTTCAGCTTGGAGGACCGCTAGCTGATTTTGCCAACAAATTCTCCAGAAAATTGAAACATTGTTTTCCCGGAAGAAATTTGAACAAGGCAAAAATCACAAGATTAGCAGAATATATTGACGCAACTACATATAAGAAAATCCTCCAGAAATATCAGCGCCAAGAAGACAAATGAGCATTTTCCGCCCTTTCAAGGGTAATAGTGTATCCAATGAGATAAAACGAAGGTTTCGGAGCGCAACTGAAAGAATTTACCCTGCCTCTAAATTTTTGTAAATAAGCACAACAACGGCTATTCCGATTAAGTATTCTGCTTGTGCACGCCACATCAAACTGTGTTGACGAGTTTACATGTAGTTGCGGATGCAAATACATCGGGCGCCCACAAAGGCGACTGGCAACACGGTCAGCTGAACACATGCCGAAGTGGTAGCTCAGGGTGGAAAATAAAATAGCACAGAGTTCAATCACGAAGCCCCTAGTGGACATTAACCATACGTTCAACCAGAAGACTGCATTTAAGATCGTACTTCGGGCGACGTCCGGGCGCCTCCTACGATTTGCGGAGGCTGCTGCAATATGCGAAGAAAACCAGAACTCTGTAAGCAGTTGGATCATGTGATCAACCTCGCCTTGGCGTAGTAATGATCGATAAACTCAGTCCCGCTCACACCTCCTTGCCTCCCCCCCCCTTAGGACTGACTGCTACCCTGTCCT